AAAAATAATTCACAGCCTTATATCGATTTAGAATCTGAGAGTGGCTCAATATCATTGAATTTGGTGTGTATAACAAAAATATCATTGAACTTGCTTATCTAATGAATTTATAGTCCAGATAATTTACTTCAAAATTTTAAACAGAATGATACGTTCGCTGGCGAATATGAAATCTTCTCAAAATCTGGTCGTGTAAGTGCTAATAATGCTGGAAATAATTTAGATTCATCTTATTCTGGAAATACTTTAAATGGAACAAAGAAGTCCACAAATTCTTCAATTCAATCTAATGGGATGATTATTGCCAAGTCTAATAGAGGAAATGTGAAAGTAGATTTTCTTTATCCTCTTCATACTAAAGTATTCACCTCCTCCACTACAATTAACGATCCTTCTTTTTATTGCTCACTCTTTATAATGATATCTCTCTGTTTTTTTTTATATTAATCCATATTGAGATATTACTTTCCTCTCCCTCCTCTACCCCAACTAATAGCCATCCTTTTACTGCCCTTTCCCTAGATTGCTCTCTCTGATTTTTTAAACTAATTCATATTGAGACATTAATCATTCTTTTATTATGTATCTGACAACTAAATAAGTCCCTATACTTATTAAATTAATGACTTAAAAGTGTTATTGATAATGTATCATAATTGATTGGATTTATTAACTATTATTCAATTCTATCAATATTACAGCCGTCCCCTTCACATAGTCACAACCTATATAATCACATATGTAATCACATTTACATTCAGGCAAATTATGATTGAATTTCTAAGAAATTAAAATGACTATGTGAGTTGACACAAATTAATTTACAAGATTAATTGGTTGTGGCATTACCGCATTGTCTCAATGACACAATTAGTGATGCAGTTTGTCAGTACAGAGTATAAGTACTACATTTTATCTAAGTAATGCCACTCGCTTGTTTTCTAAGTACCTTGTGGATACTTTAGAGTATATAAAATATACTTTAAAATTTTAATTTCTAAGTCACAGATAATGTTTCACAGTAACAATTAAAATAAATTCTATACTTTACAGTACTTATTCATGATTTTAAAATACTATAAAGTTTATTGATACAGATGAAGATTTAATTAATACTTTTTGAACAATATTTAGCGAATAGTATAAATATTTGATTAATACTTTTTGAACAATTATTTATTGAATAGATAAATACAGTCAGACCTCGTTATAGTCACTCTTGATATAGTCACAACCTTGTTATGGTCACACTATTTCTTGATCCTAGGCATTATAAAATATATAAAATTTGACCTTAATATAGTCACTTTTTTATCATCGCCAAATGTTTGTTTCCCAACCTGGGGAATATATTGAGGTCTGACTGTATATAAAAAAAATAATAATGGTAGAACTATCGCCGCAGAGCCTGTCACACCGTGCTTAAGAGTATAGTATATAGTAATATACAGGATGTGATTAACTTGGATATCGATAAATTATTATAAATAATGTTTTTTATACAAATAATATTTATTATAATAAATGTTTTTTGTATTTTACGCATTAAAAAAAAATTTAAAACGGAACACGGATTTCCAAAATTGGCCATTCAGATTACTTTAAGCGGACAGTCAAATTAAAATTTCAATACAAAATGTAGTGAAACGAAATGTATAGTATACAGAAGAATAAACCTTATAACACAATTAATTAACTTAACACTAAATTGTTTGGGTGCCATAAAAAAATTATTTCGTCAAATGTATCACACTTTTGAATTAACTTTAATTGGCAACATAAAATATATAATTGAAAGCACAGATATGAAACTCCGATCTGATAAATTTACGCATAAGAACTTGAAATATTTTGTCTAACACAATCTTTATAAAAGATTGTTAATAAATTGATTGTCAGTGAAACAAGTCGGTAAAATTAGTGTCGGTGAAACAATACGTACTACAGTAGCCTTAAATTCTAAACCGACAATTACCAGAATTACTTAGACGGTGAGATGAACTTGCCGATTAGAGTGTCCAGAATTCTGCGGTGCATAATTCTGCTCACTCTAAAAATATCTTTTTGTATTGTCTCCGTAAGATA